AGACAGAGTCTGTGAGGGCAGGAGGCGCATCTGGAGGCTGGGTAAGTGATTAAGTAAGAAAGGGTTTCTCCTGAGTGTGAACCCGGGTTAGTGCCAAACCCCTAGAAGGAGGAGGTGACAGACATGAGCTGAGCTAGAAGAGGGAGATGCGGGTGCTAGATCCTACTTCAGTCTCTGATGTCTCCTAAGGAAATGTAGCCTTGTCTTAGATGACAGTAATCACTGAGGTTTCATCATGGTGATCATGACCCCTGATTCTGAAGGTGCTTCTTAGATCCCTGGCTGCCATCAATGGTGGCTGCCAGCTGTTAACCTGAAGAAAACTCTTCTGTTTTAATTCACAAAATGCATAAGGTTTCATGCCTTCCAGATTCCAGTTGGCAAACGAGTCCTGTATTTTAACATCTTTCCCAAATCCCGCCTCACTGCAGTGGTTTCCTATGACTCAGGTATTAATACATAGATCAGGGTCTAACTTGAAATCAGCAATGACTCCATTTCTCCCACACACTACTGTATCCTGTGTGTGTCCTGTCCCACAGTTTAGAGCATGGACTGAGAATGTTCACTAATTCCCGGGATGGGGCTTTGTACGGTTGCTCTTGGCACAAAGGAAAATGCGTCCTCGTGGTGTCACGGTGACACTGAGCCCTTCCTGCGCTCACCACCTTCTCTCGGGGCAGGTGTCTGTAGGATTATCCTGCAGGCCCTGCATCTACACTGAATTAGATGTCTGAGCTCTCTGCTGTTCCTGAGGCAGACCCTGCACTGGTGAGGTGGGCCATCTTTGTGGCTGGGCTGCCCTCTGGGCTACAGCCTGTGACCAGTCAGGGCTCAGGAAGGGGGCTGGGACACAGCACAGAGAGCAGTCTGACCTGCAGGAGGCTTGCAGCCCTGGTGGGCCCTCAGGGGCTGGGCGGCTGTGGGAGTAGGCCCCGGCTTCCCGGGGTCCAGGGGGAGGGTGACGTCCAGTCCCCTCTCCACGGAAGCCTCTGAGGCCACAGGAGGGCTCTGTCTTCTGACCTGTCATCCAATGAGGATCAGGAAATGAATCCCCTAAAGGAGTCGGCCTGCTTTTATCTGCCCCCCCCCCCACTGCACAGCACACCAGCCCCTTTGGTATGCTCTGGAGGCGGAGAGACCAGATCAGAGGAAAATCCATAGAGAGGTCACAGGGGAGAGCCTGGCAATGAGAAAAAATATATGAAGCTTATTGGTTGTGGCTATTGGTTTCCAGAACATATCATTTCCCATAAATGCAAATCTGTTACAGCCAAACTAGGAAACAAAGTATCACCAATCTAAGGTCAAAGGACAAGGTGGACAAACACAACTAAGTATTTTGTGTTGTTGTTAGGTGCCATTGAGTTGCATCCTACTCCTAGCGACCCTGTGGACAACAGAACGCAACACTGCCCAGTCCTGTGCCAGCCTCACAATCCTTGCTACACCTGAGCCCATCGTCGCAGCCATTTTATCAATCCATCTTGTTGAGGGCCTTCCCCTTTCTCCTTGACCCTCCACTTTACCAAGCACAATATCCTTCTCCAGGGAATGGTCCCGTATGACAACATGACCAAAGTAGGAAAGACGAAGTCTGGCCTTTCTCGCTTCCAAGGACCTTTCTGGCTACACTTCTGCCAGGACATGTTTGTTAGTTCTAAATGTATAGCTCGTGTGTTTAAAAAATAAGAACACACACACCTGCTTCTCTTTGTAAGGTAGGAAAGAAAATTGTGGTTAAAATGGAGCTATGGTGCACAGTGGTTTGACTTCTAACCAAAGGTTAGTGGTTCAAACCCACTAGCAATTCCACGAGAGAAAGGTTAGAACATCTGTTTCTATAAAAATTTAAATCCTTGTAAACTGTATAAGGTACTTCCATTCTGTCCATAACAGGGTCGCTAGGAGTCAAAATCTACTCAATGGTGGTGAGTTTTTATTTTAGGTATAGTGCTTATATGCGTGATCTTTGTAATTAGCCCAGCCAGGTGCAAGTCCCCTCTCTGCCTCTAACAAGTATGTGAATTGAGACTCCCCCCTTAACTTCTCTCTGCCCAATCCTTCCTCCACTTTATCATGTAAGTAATAGTATTTTCTGCCCTGTAGGTCTATGAAGAATAAAGAAGTCATGCATGGATAGTTTTGATAGCAAAAATTCCTATACTGTAAGTGTCTTTAAAAGGGTTTTAACACAATTTGAAGTCTCAAAACAAAAGAAGAAGGAAAAAATTAAGTCAATGTTTCTTAGTGGGAATTAATGGTAGGTGGGGCACAGTGGATTTCAGTTGACAGTGATACATGTGGCCCGTGTCTCATCTTCCCAGGCAGGACCCTCTGGCTGAAGACAAATATCAGTCACTGGGAATTGAGAGAACGTCCTCTAGGGAATTCTCACTAGGAATGCTCTTCTTATCTCAGACTACAGTTGGGATCCTGGGGAATTTCTCTCTTCTTCACCATTATGTCTTCCTGCACTTCACTGGGGGAAGGTTAAGGTCCACAGACTTGATTCTCACACACCTGACTGTGGCCAACTCCTTGGTCATTCTCTCTAAAGGAATTCCCCAGACTCTGACAGCGTTTGGATGGGAGGATTTTCTCAATGATTTCGGATGCAAGCTCCTTTTCTTTGTTCAAAGGGTGTCCAGGGGTGTGACCATCAGCAGCACCTGCCTCCTGAGTATGTTCCAGGCCATCACCATCAACCCCAGTAACTCCAGGTGGGCGGAGCTGAAGCTGAAAGCTCCCAAGTACATTGGTCCCTGCAATATCCTCTGCTGGGTCCTGAACATGCTGGTAAATATCATAGCTCCTGTCTATATGATTGGAAATTGGGGCAATAAAACCCTCACAAAGAAAAAAGATTTAGGATACTGTTCTTCAGTAGTTCAAGACATAACCACACGCTCACTGCAAGTAGTATTACTTTCCTTCCCTGATGTTGTGTGTTTGGGGCTCATGATGTGGGGCAGTGGCTGCATGGTTCTCATCCTGTACAGACACAAGCAGCGGGTCCGGCACATTCATAGGAACAGTATCTCTGCCAGATCCTCCCCTGAGTCCAGAGCCACCCAGAGCATCCTTGTCCTGGTGAGCACCTTCGTGGGGTTTTATACCCTCTCCTCCATTCTGAACGGTTTTCTGACTCTTCTCCATTCTCCAACTTGGTGGCTGGTGAATATCACTGCACTGTCTGCTGTGTGTTTCCCGACAATCAGCCCCTTTGTTCTTCTGAGCCATGACTCCAGGGTCTCCAGGATCTGCTGTGTGTGTGCTGGAGACAAGACACAATTCTCTCATCTCATCAAAAAGATATAAATTGTCTATTCCTGATCAAGTTCAGTTATCGATGTACTCCAATCATGAGACAGTACACTGCACATTGGGGAACAAGACACAGATGCTTTTCCAGTGGCATAGAGTAGCTAATAATAGCAATAGTCAATGTTTTCTCATGGAATTACCATGTAAACACTTATATAACTGCATCTTAATGTGTGTAGTGGAGAAGTTCAGAGCTCAGTTAATAATAGCACAGTTCGTTATGAGACACTGCAGACATACTGGAAGTGTCTTTGAGGGTGTAGCTTTAAGTCTGAGATAATAAAGTTTACCGATGCTTAACTGAGCATGGGATTGTAGGACATTCCATAAAGAAAGGAATGCATGTGGGATGGTCATTCAGGAATGCAGGGGCAGGCACAGTGACCTGTATTCTCATGTAAGTGGCCTGGGGTGAAACTATAGGTAAAATCAGGTTTTAGTTTTTGGTGGAATTGGAGGCCAGGTTGTGACTATTGTGTACATCCTAAGAGAAATGGGGGTCCCTGGAAGTACAGTCGTGGGGAATGGTGAGCAGGCTCTGGGCGGGGCAACGGTGCAGCACTGAACTGCTAACTGAGCGTCTGGAACGTCAACCCTTCCCACTGCGCACAGACACCTGGGAAGACGGGCCTGCTCATCTGCTCCTGAAAGACCACAGCCTTGGAAGCTCTCTGGAGCACAGATCTATTCTGACCACATGGGTCGCCGTGAGTTGGGACTGACTCCATGGCAACTAGCAACAGTGGCATTGATTCTACATTGCTCTCCTTTCTCTGATATTGCACATGGGCCCTTCATTTCTGTGTGTCTTCTTTCTTCTCAATGAGTATTAATTTGTAAGTGGAAATGTATTTACTTTGAAAAATGAAGGTTGGTTTTGAAACACTGCTCATTGTCCTTTTCTGTTCTAATATTGAAAGAAGACAAAATCCTCCAATCAATCCTAGGCTTGCTGTCATCTCATCAGGATTAATCACAATTTTCTCTTATTGATTTGACTTTGTAAGAGGTTGTCTTATTGTTATTTTGCCTTAGGTTCCAATCCTCTAGTGAACAGTTTTATTGCTAACACATCTCCATGCCTCATCTCTGCCTTAAGGAGATACACTTCACACTTATTTCAGTGCAGGCTAATTGTTGAATGTTTCATACATAAAATACTTTTCTCCATTTGACATGGTCTGTGTTCATTAATTTTTCTATGCCACACTTTGCTTTGATCACATTATTTTCCTATTACAATCTGTTACTTTGATAACTTTTAATAGTTTGCCTGATATTAAAGCACCCATATATTCCTGGAATGAATTTCTGTGTATTTTTAAATTGTTTTGCTTCATTTTTGTGTTAAAATTCCTAATGTTGCCTAGTTTAGGTTAAATTATGTTCCTCCAAATCTTGTCCTAACCTGTATGGATGATATTGGCTCATCAGCATAACAAAGAATCCTGGTTGCAAGTGGTATTACATCCACAGGAGTAGGGGTTAGGATTCCACACCTATTTTGGGGGCACACAAGTTAATTCGTAACATTCCATGTTTTGGTCACCCAAAATTCAGTCTTTCCCACATTCAAAACACTTTGACCTGTCATATCATCCCAAAACACTGAATCCCTTCAGCATCAACTCTAAATCCCAAATCTCATCTTCTGGGCTATGGGACAGTTATAAACTGTAACTTTTCTAATAAATGCAGTAATTGTGAGTATGGTCCGTGAGTTCTGTGTAGCTATTGCAAAGAATTACCAAACCCAGCAGAGAGTGCTATGGGAGGGAAGGGTGGTGTCAGAACTGGTCAAAGTCTTGGAAAGAGGAGATATGCCTGCTCTCCACCTAATACAAATCAGCCATGGGATGATGATCTTGATCCTCTCTTCCCCCCACTGTGAAGTTAGACAAGATTAGACACCATCAGTGAGGATATCATCCCATTTGTACAGACTCTACCCCCAAATCTCAAGGCATTGGGGAAGAGGGTTTTCTTTGTTGTACTAATGAAGCCATATAATCCTATAGTGTGTCCTAAAACTAATCACACTGTACAAAGTTACAGAAAAAGCAACACAGACACAGAGTAGCAGCCCTGATACCACAAAGGCTAAGCACTCGACTGTTGTCTGAAAGGTTGGCAGGAGCCCCCACCAGCAGCTCCATGGGAGGAAGACCTGATGGTCTGCTTCCATGAACCCTATGAGACAGTTCTTCTCTGTCATATGGGGTCTTTATGGCTCAAAATCCAATCAAAGGCATCTAACAACAACAATGACACAACAGCAGCCCTGGTGGCACAATGATTAAGTGATTTCCTGCTAAAGTAAAGGTGGGCAGATCAAACTCACCCAGCTCCTCTGAGGGAAGAAGATGTGGCGATCTTCTCCCCCTAAAGATTACAGCCTAGAAAACTCTATGGAGCAGTTCCACTCTGTTTCTGTCATCACTGTGAGTCAGAATGGGCTACAGAGAACCCAGCAACAATGACAAGAGAGAAGAAGCAAAGGAGCACAATCACAGGTGGGGGAAGACAGAAGCCATGTGGGGACCTGTAAGGAGCTGAGGAATGCCTAGGAGAATGCTAGAGAAGTTGAGACCAGGGTTTTCCTCCAAGTAGACAGTGAGAGAAAGCCTTCCTCCAGAGCTGGTGTCCTGCATTTAGCACTTGTAGCCTCTAAGCTGTGAGAACATGTATTTGTGTTTGTTAAAGCCACTTGTGGTATTTCTGTTACAGCAGCAATAAAAAAACTTACACAATTGCCCACAATTCATCTTTTCTCTTAGTAGCTCTGCCAATCATTTGCCTGTGAGCTGTCACACCCATGGCCCACCTGAACCAAAAACGCACCAGGGAAGAGGCATCTGACCTCCACTGGCTTCACATGTGGGAAGGAGGATCAAGGTGAACAGCCTAAAGCTGATTCCTATGAGGCAGAGGTCAGATGTGCCTCCACTCTCCAAATTTATACCAAGTCTGACACTAACTGTCTACTTCTCTGCTGAGTTCGATAATTCACTAGAATGGCTGCAGAGAACTCACAGACAATACTCAGAATTATGGTGTTTATTAGGGAAGTAACAGGTTGCAATGCTGGAGAAAGAAATGACTCAGGATACAGTTCTTCAATTAAGACAGCTTCTTGTCAGCTTGGCCACAGGTAAGCCTCTCTCTGGCCCTCAGCCTCTCAGTCCTGTGGCTCTTTGGCCTCTACCCTGTTCAGACAAGTGTTAAAACCCTCTTGTAGTTCCAGCAGTAAGTGCCCAGAGGTACCCTACTGTGTAGAGGGTCAGCGACCAAGGGGACGATGGATTGACACAGTGGCTGCAAAAACAGGCTCAAGCATAGTAAGAACAGGCTAAGGAGCAGGTAACGTTTCCTTCTGTTGACCACTGGGTTGCTATGAGTTGAAATCAACTGGATAATACCTAACAACAACATCCTGGTCGGGACCAGGGAGGAGAAAAAGATGAATGTTAAACTGGAGATGTATGAATAAAATCTGAACTTAGTTCATAGTAAAGGCCAGTGCTGGTTTCTTAGTTCTGACAGAGGTAGCTTGATAATGTAAGATGCTAACATTAGTGGGAACTGGGGGACAGTTAAGGGAGCCCTGCTGGGACAGTAGTGAGCTGATTAACTGCTGACTGAAATGGTGTGATTTCCCTACAAATTTGTTTCCACGAATCAGAATGCACGAGTCCAGCCTGATACCTCTTTCACGTCAATACTGCAAATTGGATGAAGACTTAACACAGAGCAATCTGCCTTCTAAGGATCCCAAACATCCATTCCATTCTTTTTTTTCTAGAAAAACATGTGTATTTAATGTGTGCTTCCCACCCACATTCTGCTGACCCTCCTTCCTGTGTTGTTCCCCGTGCTCCTGCACCTCATTATCCTAATGTCTGACTGAGAATACTGCGCATGCACTGCTCTGTCCAAGTGCTGGTGTGCTGTACATGGCTAAGCACATGTCATGTGTGGTTAATATTAGGAACTACGAAGAGTTCAAGATTTGCCAAGCTTCCAAACGAACAAGTAAGCAAAGACTGGATGGATGCAGGTAGAGAATATGCGGCTCCCGGGCCAGAGAGAAGAACATTAGTGGTGGCAGCAGGAGCTCAGTATGTGCATTGATTCCTCTTGCCCCTCAAGCCTCCTATCTGCCCAGTCTTTGCCCGGTGCAAACATTATCTTAATTTTCCGGGACAGAAGACAAATCTCACTCTGCCCCAGAAGGAGACACTATCCGTATCCTGTGAGGCTGTTTCCTATATGAAGGTCCTTGGAAAGCTACAACAAAGTCTGTTCAAGACCTGAAGAACCTTTAAAACTCAAGGATTTCCATCACTGACTTGGCAGCTTTCTTTTTTAATTTGAAAAGCTCTGGTGACATAGTGCCTAAGGTACTTGACTGCTAACCAGAAGACTGGTTGTTCAAACCCACCAGCCACTCCATGGAAGGACGATTAGGCAATCTATTTCCATAAAGATTTACCACCTCGGCAACCCAAAGGGGAATGTTATGGGTTGGAATCAACTCGATGGCAGTGAGTTTGTTTTTTTCAGTTTGGGTTATTTTTGGTTTGGTTCAATTCATAGTCTAAAATCCTGAGCACTTAACCTACATGATACAACTTGGGATCAGGACCAACTGGGTACAAGTTAGGATCAGGACCAGGAAGCACATAGGCAGTCTCCCTTCTTCAGTGCACGACATCTCTATCCAAACCTCTCGGCGACGCAGGCCTCCTCTCTGCCACTCGTGCCAGGCCTCGTCTTGACCCCTCAGGAGAAGCTCCTCTAAGCCCCCTTTTAGGAGAGGCTCCTCTTGGCCCTGCTTTCTGTCACCACTTGCTCTGCTACTTGGCCCCTTCTGAGCCTCTTCCTGTCTTCAGGATTGAGCCCTTGACCAGAGTTAAGGCTCTTTTAGGAGGGTCCTTGCTCTTCTTTCTCTGCTTCTCATCTGTTCCTTCTTCCGTCTGCTTCTCTTTCTGCTT